AGACAAAACTTACATACATATAAATAACTTACATATACAATGAACAATGATAAAGATTTAAATCACAATTGATCATAACTCAAAATACATATATTTTTATATATTACCAAGTGGTTTCATGTAGGCTACAACCCACACAAGTATCATGCTAAATTAAGCTCTGTTGCTTGGATATCACTAGATCCTGTTACATCAGCGTAATATAAAAGTACATAACGACTGATGTGTAAATTAGCATAATTACTAGCTAGCCGCTAGCTGCTAACTGCCGCCTCGTCGTTAATATCAAATCCATCATAACAACCCATTACCATGCTGTCATGAACGCGCGGTGCTGTTACGTGTACGCAAATTGACGTGCTTGATGTGAACGAGCATTTTGGGGGGCATGTTTAAAGTTGCGCATGCGCTATGAGCGCACATACGGGTACTTCTCAGGCATGCCGGGTAATCTGTGACGTTTCGCTCTCTCAAAAGTTGGGCCATTTTGTCATCATGCGCGATTGAGCAACTCTCATAGGAATGAATGAGGCCCCGCCTCCCACGCTGTATCCAGTTCTTATTATACATCCATGGCGGCCACGGACAGTACACGACACTACACGACACGCCCACTACACGACACGCCCACCTGACACGACACTACGGTGGCTGAGAGACATTACCGTACATGGCAGATTAAAAGCGAATTGACGACACTTATTATTATTGAGATCGTACATGGCAGATTAAAAACGAATTGCAAATGTTATTGTAGCATTTTAAGCAACTATTAGGCAAATAAATTAATAACCTAGTCTATCCGTTTGAGACACAACAGTATAAATTTCAACCCAAATCATTTTGTCAACAAACGGTGGTTTAGTCAACTTTTTTTTAATATATAAAATAGGTATTAATGAGATGATCTATTGATTATGTTTGTCTAACTGCTACACATGTATTTTATACATAAATGTAGATATTTGTGAACATCTAAATATAGTTGTTAAAGGTTTTAAGATATACATTATCACATCATGGGGTCATTAAGGAACAAATTAGGAGGGCCAGTCAGGCCACTAATGAGCTCAATCATTCACATGTATTATTATTACTTTATAAATTAAAAGTACTAGGGGTCTATTACAAAACCTTTGAAGGAATCGCATAAATTAAAATAAATGTATGGCAAGTATGATCAAATTAACATAATGTCAAGATATAGCCAATAGACAATCAACATGCTTTGAATATAAAGGAAGAAGAACAATAAACAGATGAACATTTAGGTTTTATGTGTAAATTGTGAACAAACCATCTTAATACAACTGGCAGTCTAAGACAGCAAACTAAGCTTCTTTAACTGCTGCTAGAACACTGTTTTACCATGGGGTATTTCTAACAAGACCAAAAAGATATACAAGGCTTCCAAAACAGAAGAAACCAACTCAATACAGTATTTTAATTTCCTTCAAAACGACAAAAGCACTAATAAAAACCAAATAACAATAACATAAAGGAAAAGTAATTGAAGTGGTTGCCTGTTGTAAATACCTTGGTATCTGGCTTGATGATTGTCTCTTCTCTAATAAGTCAAAGATATGTTTACTGTATATTATAAAAATGCTTGTCATGTAGGCATACTGGAGATGGGAAGGCTTTAGTCAGTGTTGTAGCTGAGATTCTTACCGTTCCAATGATGTATTAATAATAACTTGGATTTATATAGCGCCTTTCATGAGACCCAAGGTCGCTTTAAAAAGAACAGGAGTAGAAACAAACATAACAAAAGGCAGTTAGACGAACAGTTAGACAGACAACACAAATAGATTTGGGGCCAAAGACCTTGGCAGACTTGAGGGCCCTTTTGAAGGCGTCAAGCGTGGGGATGTTGCAGATCTCCGCACGGAGAGCGTTCCAGAGAGTGGGGGCTGCCATACTGAAGGCTCTGTCCCCGAAGGATCGCAGGTTGGTGCGGGGGGCCAGAGTCTGAAGACCGCAGGTTCCGGGGTAGGGCATGTGGGAATTGTATTGATTTGATACAAGCAAGCCAGTGTTTCATTGTGTCCGAGTCCAATTTGTTGAGCTCTGGGCGTGCTCCATCACGGAGTGTTGTGTTGTTTGTCTATAGGTGAATAAAATAGAATACAATTTCAGTGACTTTAATATTGGAAATAGTTAACTCCTTAAACAAGCAGCAATGGACTGGCCTGTATAATCCTATGGGACAAAGCTGGTCATACTTCCTCACTTTCAGAAGGTAACCCTTTAACTGCCAGCGCCACCATTTGGTAGAGCACATTTTGTGTCTTGATATCTTGTTGAAAAAAAAAAAAAGTTTAACTCCATCTGATTCAGCCAGCTCTACCTTTTTGGTTGACATGTTATGCACAAAACAACCTCTAGATGTCACTGTGGTTCGAACAGAAAGCCCTTCAGCTAGTTTAAATCTTTATATATACGGTCTATGGTTTAAATGTCAGGCCTACAGCATGGCCACAAACCCCATCTAAAAACAGAGGCCTGATTGCATCCACCTGGGTTACTTGGCTCTACCCAATAACTATATATCATTTAACTTTAAACCACACTTAAAATAATAATATAATTATACATATGTGCATGTCAGTATAGCAGCTAATACATGTTTTTTTTTTAAAACATTCAAATGTGAAAGACACCTTCAATGAATATTTAAAATCAGATTCTTGTAAAAATGCGAGTACATGCATTGTTCCATCTGTCAAGCTAAAATATATACATATATCTTAGCTCTTAGCTTGACATGCTAACTGAACGAGCATGTTCAGTTAGCATATATGCTAACTGAACGTCGAGCATGTCAAGCTAAGAGCTAAGATATATATATATATTTATATGTATTCCATTCCTTTACATTTAATATTTAAAATACAAATTAGCTAAATAAACACAATTACACTGCGCTAAACAGCCACATCGACAAACAAACGAGAACCTAAATAGTATGTAATTATATCTAAAACCACAATACGTTAATTACCTGTACTCGGTGCACCATATTGTTTGTCTGTTCTCTGAACCTCATGTCTCTTTAAATATCCTTGCATCAGCGTCAGTGTCGTCAATTCGCTTTTAATCTGCCATGTATGGTAATGTCTCTCAGCCACCGTAGTGTCGTGTCAGGTGGGCGTGTCGTGTAGTGGGCGTGTCGTGTAGTGTCGTGTACTGGCCGCGGCCGCAGCTAGACCCTTCTCCAAAAGTTGGGCCATTTTATCATCATGCGCGAATGAGCAACTCTCATAGGAATGAATGAGGCCCCGCCTCCCACGCTGTATCCAGTTCTTATTATACATCCATGATGTGCAGCCTCGAAATTTCTCAAAACGAAGTACGCCGGGCTCGGTAGAATTCCAAGTATGCTGGACATTGGAACAGTACTTCGGCGGCACTCGATGACGTAGTATGCTTGAAATAGTGGCTCTGGAGCAGCTTTACTCGAGATTGAGAAACGGCCCCCGGTGCAGAGTCTCTAGATGAGTTTACAGTAGTCCGTCGTTCTTATTATACATCCTGCCCCTTTCACACCAACGCAACTCCGGTTCAAGCTCCGTGCTAGAGCTTTTCTGGTTCAGAACCGGTTCTTCGGTTTAGCGCCGGCTCTTTTCACACCGCTCAGAGCCCGACTGGTGCTGCCGCTGCTGCGTCATGACGTCACAGTTTACGTCGCTGAGTTTCTCCCAACGCCGGAGCTCACCTCACAACAACAACGGGCCGGGGACTGCGTTGCTTTTAATCATACGAAGCCAGATTAAATTAAATAACGACTTCTCCAACCTTATACTTTTCTCCAGAGTGCCGTGGTTCATTGTTTATTAATGTGTTTCAGCGGCATTTACCGACCGCTGCAGTGCTGGCCGGCTGCTCTTCAACGGGAGTATTCTCCCGTTAGCTCCGGGTTAGCTCACACGGCTCTAAAGTATTCACTGTCTGACTGTCACACAAGCAGCTGATACATATCCCCAGTTCCCCTTAAGTGAATGTGTGTCAGTCTGAATTGACGCTGTTTGGTGTCAGTCTGAATTGACGCTGTTTGGCATCACAACGCTGTTATGAAAGTTTCTCTGGTATAACATGGGTGATGTTAGCATAGCAACCGAAGCTAAACTGACTACTTGCTAAGCAGTTTTCTACAGGCACTTTTTACCGACGTATTTTTCATTATGATTCTACTTGTGATAGTCGGACATGACAACCTGTGCAGCCCATGTATTGATTCCATCCGATAGCTGCTATAATAACAAACAAAACGTCTGCCTGCTCTCCACAATGATCAATAACAGCGAACGGATGGTCAAAGTAAGGTACAAATAAACAGAATCACACGTTAGTGTTGCCTGACTTTATAAAGTGTGTTTTTTTTAACAAGTGTGTGGTTGCGTTCTAGTCACTTTGCTCAGCACTACTGCTTGTTACAACTTTTATTTGCCGTACTCGCCTTAAGTGTTAGCTCAGGTTAATCTCGCCCTCCTCCGACGTAAGCGTGACGTATGCGGTTCTTGCTTCTAGACGGACAACTTTTTGGTGCTCGAAACGAACCGGATTCCGGAGCTATGACGCTGCTCCGCTGCGGTGTGAACAGGAAAACCCGGTGCTTTTCAAGCACCAGCACCGAACCGGCCCTGAAACACCGTTGGTGTGAAAGGGGTAGTAGTCCGCTGTATAGAAAACTGTAGTTTCCCCAAAGCAGACGCACATTTATGACGTCCGCAAGCCAAGATCTACTAGTGAACGGTGCATACATTATGCTATTATCGTCATACATTTTTTTGTTTACAATTACATTAACAATTTAATGTTTATATCGTTTTTTTCTTAGGATCGTACCCGGCCGTTACTAGTCTAGAAAAGGGTAAACGTGTGCATTAGATTGTAAAGTTGTGTATATTTACAGACTGTTGTAAATATACAAAGCTCTCGTAAACATCAGATTTGAAAGCAAAAACATATTTACACAAAAAAAGAACGCCACGCACCAATGACTTTTGGGGTTTATTATTATTTGTTGTCCGAGAGATGCTGATATGAAGCCGTTGAAGAGAGTTCCCGTTTCTGCCGGTGGGGGGCGCGAGTCCCAAAGCTTTCCAGCCGGCAAGGCAGGAAGGGTTTTATTGGATTTTGAAAATGTTATAATAATAAAAGGAAAAATTAAGATAAACATTTGTGGCATACCTTAAGTGAACTAAGCCATCATGAATCATTAAGTTACACTTTTACTTTTAACATCCACCATGAAAAGTTAAAAAAATTAAATAAGCTAAAGTTAAAGAAGCTCATCTTAGCTGTGCCTTTATTGTATATTACAGTGTCAAACATGTTTTTAAAAACATTAAAAAGGTTATAAAAAGACCCAAAACAACTGCTCAAGTTTTAAGTCTGCTACTTACACAAAAACATGTAATCTCACATCTCTAACTTTTAAAACAAAATAGATACATTTCATACAGCTAAATAGTTTATAATGAAACTCACAGATGTTCAATAATTGATTAAACAAAATGGTAAACAAAATAAAAATGTCCTTCACCCTTTCTGTAATTGAAAAAAAAAACATAGTGGGGGGTGGGGGGAGTGATTTTAGATGTGTCCTTTCAGCTGAACAGCAGGTTCAGAGGTGGAGGTTCAAGGCCGGCGGTCATATTCGCTGATCTTCCTCTTGATGTGTGACAATTTTAATCTGAGATATTTACATCTCTTCTTCTTGATCTGGTAGCCAGAGGACTGCAAATTAAAGAACATAGTTGAAAAAATGTGAATGTAACGTATCTGTATTACCCTGTAAAGAACAAAACAGGTGGAAATAACTGCAAGGCCTTACCTTCTTGAGATTCTTCAGTCTGGTGTATTGGTCCATGGCATCCTGAGAATAGAAAGATAGTGGTCACTCATTTGATCCACTCAGAAGAAAACTTCCTCCCATATTCACACACAAATTGGTGTGAGCTCTTGACAACATTTTTAGGTCTAAAGTAACATTTTAATAGTCTAATTTAACTATGGCATAAGCAACTTTTCCCTTACTGCAATTGTATTCTTAGCCACAGTAGGTAGGGGAAAATACCATTTTAATAAGCATGAATCAAATATATCAAGGTTCATTTTTGTCTGTAGTCATTGGTCATAGGCTTGAAAATATTTAAAGCTCATTTTCCATGTACCCATTACTTTGACCATTTTGTTATATTTAAATGATCTTAATTCCATTTCGAATCATAAGCATGTATGTATGTATGTAGAGTGGTCATTGTCACTTTAAATAATCAAATCTCAAAGTCACCACCACACTCACCAGGAACTGTGGACTGCCCTCAGGGTGTTGGTTCAGAGCTAGGTCAAGCTCAGCCAAGTCCTGGTTTATGCTGTCCAGCTCAGCCTGCAGGCTCTTGTACTCCTGGTGCTGCTGGTCAAATTCTCGTTTGTAGTTTAGACGTTCTTGCTCATCCACGATAGAAGGAAACAAACTGCAGGTGCAAACAGAATGACATTTGGGGACTTATTATATGACATCTAGCCTTTTTAAGATACATGTTATCACCCCAGATGGATTTATTCGAACATCATAACAAAGTAAGTTCAACACAGCTCTTTCATTATCAGCTACCAGATCCCTTCACATCAACTCACACATAGAAGTCCTCATCCTCCAGGTCGTCTCCGGACTCCACTCCAGTGTCATAGTCCTTCATCCTGGGCTTCAGGCCACCTACAGAACTGCTGATGTCTGAGTCTCTGCAAATGCAATAATTGATTTGGGCCATTTATTTCACATGCATCACCACCATTACATTCTTTGTATTTTCACATCTGTAAAGCCTCTAAGATCTAACTTGACGTGTTACGATTACCCACATTTCTGCATCATTATTTGCACAATGCCGTGTGTATATTTATTTTAGTTTAAGTTTTTTATGAAAGGTTTAATTTTAGTTTTTATAATTTTAGTTCTAGTTTTTTGTGTTACTGTCGGTTCACTGGGTTTATTTTAACAGAGGGAAGTTTAACAAAATGACAAACCATTGTGCGGTGCACAGCTTACCCTGGCAAGTAAAGAGGCTTGTTTTGGTCCAGCTGGTCCAGATAGTCTCTGGACCCCCTGACTTTGGGATTGTGGTCATTCAACGGCACCTCTGGGTCACCAGACACATTCTTCACCTGAAACAAGAGACGTATCATTTTTTATTTTCAGTTTGTTCAAGTTGATTACATTTTGCGTGGAACAAATGATAACTTTCCTTCTTAAAAAAGGGACGCTGCTTATTTACAAATGAAGATCAGTTTAATAGTGAAGGCGTAGCTCTTTAGTCTGTGAAAAATAGTTGCCTCTGTCTGCTGTGGTTCTTGAGAAAACGTGTTAAGTCTCCGAAAATAAGCCTGTTGATGTCCTCAAGCCTTTGTTACGAACTAGGGGTATGAAAGGGATGAGCATTTACCTCACATGTTGTGAGATGAACCATCAGCAGCTGAACCTGACAAACACTAAGGCCGGACACCAACAGACTCAACAAGCTGATCCACAGAGCCAGTGATGGTGGGGGTGGTGTTGGACAGAGAAGGATGCGGTCCAAGAACATTTTAGACAATGTCTCCCAGCCACTCCATGACACGCTGGTAAGTCACAAGAGTAGCTTCTGCCTGTAGGCCCAATTCCAAATCACACCCTACCCACTCCCACTCCGTGACGGAGTGACACTCACAGCTAAACGAGGCTCCCTCCTTTCAGATGAAGGGAGTAAATACAGCGGCAAGCTTTGGAACAAACTCCCCTTTTTCTGCCAGAAACAGGAAATGGCGTAACTGTATGTAACAACGGTTTCAAATCAGCATCTCTTGGATTGAAAATAACAAAAATAAAAATCTTTTATGGCGTATGTTTTTTGTAAACATATATATTATTTTAAATCTGATGTTTATAAGCTTTTAGCAAAAGTCCATGTAAATATACACAACTTTTACCGTTTTCTAGACAAGACATGAGTAAATGATCCTAAGTTCCTGACGGACACACAGAGCATTGAGTCCGATGCAGACTCGCTGTTGGAGGGCTTGATAGCCCACTCCCCCTCCCCACTCGTTGGTTTGGAACAGCACTTAATGTGGCGGACCCTCCGCGCGAACGCGCAAACGGAGGGTTAGTGTGTAGGGGTAGGGTGTAGGGGGTGATTTGGAATTGAGCCGAAGTCATTCCTGCCTGTGGGCATTTAACAGGAAGTCATTCAACAGGAAGTCATTCCGACATGTAGGCATTTAGCAGGAAGTGACCTCCAACTGTTCCCTGGCTCCGGACAGACTGGCAGCCTCTTCGCTTTGGCACCTCTCTATAATGCACCTATGCCTGTATTCAAATGTATGTGTGTATTTGTACTGCGTGTATTCAACAAATATAATTTTAAAACTAATATTTACCTGCTATTTTATTTCATTCTAAAATGGACTAAACTGTCACAAATAACAATTACCCCTGGGATAATTTATAAGTATTTCTGATAAACATTACTGTAAAACATCTGATCTCCCTAAATCAAAAAAAGCAAATCTGCATTTTTTAGTGCAGTCTTTAATCCCACTAAACTCTTTATTGGGATTTATTTGCTTGATTTGAGCAAATCAAAAATCAATCAATCAATTGTCTTTATTGCCTGCAGAGGTTATTTCTGAGGCTCCTCTCATAATTGACCTAGTTTATGTTTCAACAACCTCTTCTATTCATACGATAAACATCCTGGTTGTATGCGCCGTTCACCAGGACCAACCGGTTCCTCTACTTTTTCCCTGCATGCCTGAGTACAGCAATACCATCAGTGCCATCAACAGGGAGAACATTTCTCTCAGCCAGAACTGCTGACACATCAGGTCAGACCGCATTGCTGGGAACGGTCACACACCTGAAATAAAAAACTATGTTGGCATGAAAGTAGTTTTCAGTTTAACAATTTCATTTGTGCCCCAGTCCCCAGAATGCAAACTATGTTGATGTCATTCATAGAAATTAAGGAACACTTTTTGTATTAATGTTTGTTTTCTACGGAGCCCTGGAGGGTTCATACAGAGAAAAATAAATAAAACGAGGCCACGTTTTATTAATTTGAGCGCACAACATACTTTCTCGTGCGCACGATATACTTTGTCGTTCGCACGAGATACTTTCTTATGGTAAAACACATCGAACTGCCCGATTATTACGCCATATTATTAGTTTTATGAAGAATATGTCCGGTCGCCAGGGCGCGCGCGTGCGTGTGTGTGTGTGTGGGCATTTGTTTATGATAGTGTCGTTTGTTCCGGTGCACTCCGGCAGGACTATAGCACTACATCGAGATTAAGATGAAACAAATTTCTTTCACTTGGGAATACACATAGTTGGGAGAACCAGATGCGTGTAAATTACTGTTCATGGTAATTTGAAAACAAATGCCTGTGTCGGACACACACAAACACACCAAACACACACACACAGAGCAGAGCTGAGCACAAACACACACACATCATGCGCCCTGGTGACCGGACATCTCCTTCATAAAACGAGTAATAGGGGGAATACTCTGGTAGTTCGATGTGTGTAGAGGTGTGTGTGGTTAAACGTAGCAGCCTTGATCTCTATTCAGCTGTTCCAATGAAGGGAAACACAGTGAAGTAAACCGTAAAAGGCACAGCTCTTTGCAGCTGGTGCTGCTCTTCTCAGATTCTGCCGAGTTACACGTTACTGCCTCCAGTGCCCTGTACGACGAAGCCAGTTCAACAGACCCTAGATATGTTTGAGTTACCCGGCTTAACTAACCCTAACAAACGCGATCTCGCTAAGCGGTCCTACGAAGCTGGTTACCAACTCAGTAAATCAACCAGGGTTTCTCTGTCCGGCTGAGAGCGCGCTCACGTGAAAGGGACGGGGTTAGCAACATTTGACCAATCACAAACATGGAGAAGCGTGCTGACAGCGCAGCGTCATACTTCATGAATGAATAGTAAATAGCAAATCCTGCTTCGTAGTACAGGCCACTGGTGCCGCAGAGATTTCATAAAGTGAAGGAGGTTTTCCTTCTATAAAACAGCTGTGGGCAGCAGATACTGTGAGAGTCACGGACATGAATTCATAGATCAAAGCAGACTGGTTTACAGACTCTTCTGTTTTGTGAATCCGGTGCTTAAACTAATAGCTCTACACCCCTGGCCAAAATGTCCCTAAATGAAGTCCGAGTTTGAAATATCTTAAATAATGTATGCACTGCCATTACTCCACATAAACATAACAGTCTGTAATGAAACGGTTGTCTCCTCTGTGCTCCACTTCCTACTTGGCGCACCGGTAACTTTCTCGTGCGAACGAGAAACTAACTAAATACTATCTCATTCGCACAAAATACTATCTTGTGCACACAAAATAGTATTTTGCTTCTCCATGAACCTTTAGGGGCTCCGTAGTTTTCCTATCATTCTTTAAGATTTCATAGTTTCATTTTGATGATTTACAGTCTTATAGTTGTTGTTTACGTTTTTATTTTTAGATCCTCCTGACAACAAGGCACATCATGCTGCAACTAAGGGTGATTAAACAGACCACACCCAGAAACTGCAAAACAAACCATTCCTGCCTTGCCCCAGACTTACCTGACAGCTGTTGAAAGCAAAACATTTTCCCAAGGTGACCATGAGATATAATTCAAGGCTTTATGGGGGTCTGTTTACAGATCACACAAACAACTTCGCAGTCAAACTATTAACACACCAGCGGACAAACAGTGACAGTAATACAAGTTACTGTCAACATCCACTGAGCATTGAGGGTATTATAACTCTGTCCGACAGCATCATGGGGTCTCTTGTTCCACTCTTTATTAAGGCAATTTGACTCTTAACCTGAGTGATATATTCAAACCAAAGATTCCATGTTTTTTTATGGCTGACCATCCCATCAAATAAAAATGTTGTAGATTGTTGTATAGTTAATCAATTTACTCACATTTCTCCCAAATTCAACCTTAAATATTCGGTATCTTTGGAAATGTAATGATCTCTAGACTTCTTAATTTCTGACACAGAAGTGATTAAAGCAGGTTTCAACACAACATCAAATGTTGATTGCACAATTGAACAGGCACTTAAAAAGCTCATGCAAACACTAAGCACCCATGTGTTTTGAAGTACTCATTTTCACTTACACTAACTTTACTCTAAACTACTTTGTTGAAATGATCTGATGTACATAGTTTAGTCTTAGTTTATTGAAAAAAGGCACATTGAGTTGATCCAGTTTGTTCTCCTATGCAAACAAGTCACTCATACACAAACACGTACAAACCCACACAAAATCACACACTCACCCACTCCCCAACGCTGTTGTGCAGACCATTATTGACCATCTTCACTTCCTCCCAGAGAATGCGATCCGGGCCCCAGCGCCTGATCATGGAGCGAGCCTTGACTGCAAACACCAGCAGGATGATGAGACCAACAAACACCAGGAAGCCCAGGACGATAGCTATGGCCTGCAGGAAGAACAGGACTTAATGTCAGTGGGCTGCAATTCCACCTGCTAACAGACATTGTAAATATCAGGGCTGTCAGGAAGCAGGAGCTAAAAGAGACTCAGACTTTACACAGGATCTGAGTGGACAGCCCCAATATAATTGCTGTCTCCACAGTGGCCTTTGTTACACCCCACCACCCCATCTAAAAAAAATAAAGTTCTGCAGGAAACATATACATTTCAACATATAATGCAATCTCATATAATCTCTTCATAAGTTATATTACTTTTCAGGTATGTTTAAGAAATTGGTATAGCTGTCAATGGAAAATTACTGTTGACTATATTGCTGAACTAAATAATCTATATATGCAAACAAACTACTGCATTCCTATTGGTAAAGGAGCTACACAGTGTTGGTAAAGGAGCTACCCCCCATTCAAATCAAACACCCTATCATCCTTCCTGGAAAAGAAAGCAAATCACACCTCTTGGGGCTCCACCACACAGTAATGGTAGAGGTACTGGTTGAGGAAGATGCCTTGGGCCTGTTCCTGGTTCTGGTACTGGGCACACAGTTGGCGGATCTGGCTATAGGCCACAGATCCTGTGGACTGGGCTGTTGGGTTCACGGCCACAAGGTACACAATTGTGGCGATGATCATGAGAAATGCCAAGATGGCACAGATGATGATGGTTGCTAGGTAAAACTTTGGTGAGCGGGCAGCATTTTGCCTTGAAATGACCAGCACAAATATTATAAGCACGGCTATGAAGGTGATTGCAGAGATGGCGATGAGGAAGGCTTTTCCAGCTTTGGGGTCCATTTGTGTTTGTCCATAGCTACTGGAGCCGCCACTACCTCCTCCATAGCCACTTCCAAATGAACCACCGCTGCCATATGAACCACCGCTGCCATATGAACCACCGCTGCCATATGAACCACCGGAGCCACTACTCCCATATGAGCCACCATAACCTGGCAACATGCCAGCTCCACCTCCCATACCCATGAGGCCCATATCGTAGTCCCAGACCAGTGTGGAGGCCACGCAGGCAAACACAGCAACACACATGATGATGATGATGATACACAATATCTTCATGACACCAGGTGGGGAAGTCCAGCGGTAGAAGTCAAGCTTTTTATCTCCTGGGTAGTAGGAAAAGGTGGGGTTGGACATGGGCTCACTGTGCCGGTGTCTGCTGCTGTGGCTGCAACAGAAGAGGACAGGGAGCAGGGCTCAGGGTGAGTTCTGTTCACTGCAAATACAGTGGGAGCAACAATTCACATTCACATTATATACACTCACACTAAATACTGATATAAAAAGAATACAGTTAATATAGTAGTACTGGATAAAACTGATATGAAGCTGTTACAACATACAGTACATGTTTAAATGACCAGCGAGTTTGCTGAAAAACAGTAGGTCATTGCAGATACCAATATTTTTGGGTTAAATGTATTGATTAGTCTACAAATTGCCACAAAAAATACCCATCTTAAATTCAATAAGCCAAAAGTGTTTGCTTTGAATGTATCTAACAAGCAGTACAAAAATTAAACCTATTTAACTGACAGTGATATTTAAAGCAAGAAGAACTTAGATTTCAGCAGATGGATTCAGAAAGTGTTTGACGCCTTGGTTCGATCACCAAATTGTTCTACATTGATGTTTTTTCATGACTAATTAATTTAGCGAAAAAAATAAAAAGACTTTCAATTTAAGCAGTCTTATTTTCAAACGGCACCTTGGATTCCAATACAAGTTACCACGATTCTACTGACACACATTTTTGCCAACCTTTTCTGCAAACAGCTGTGGGTCAACAAATAGCTCCATTGCGCAGCTAATCCAATACTACTTTTTTTATAAAGCACTTTAAGCTAAGTCTAAAACCAAAGTGTTTCCTTTTAATTGCCACACTTGTTACATAAACGAGGCAAAACATATAACTATAGCCAAACCGCTTACATTTCAGTTCTGGAATAAACAAGGGTGTTCCCAAAAATAGATATTCAATTTCTACAAAGTATTAGTGTGACAGATGTGTTGCCCACCAGCCTACATATAAAATTGCTAATATTACGACAGCTATTCAAAGCCTCTGAACTTCTTGATAGATGTGACTTCTTCATTTTTTGGACTGTAACCTTGGCTTTAACTGATGATTATTTTCATTATTGATTATTTGCTAATAAATTCATCATTAGTCAATCCGAATATAGTAAAGCATGTCCATCACAATTTCCTAGAGGAAAGGTGACATCATGAAATGCTTTAAGTCCAAAACCCCAATAATATTTATATTGAATATCCTTATTCAATCGACAATTATATAAGACAAGGAAAGGAAATGCTCATTCTAGTTATTTGAGTTATTACATGTTTGGCACTTTTGATTTTAAATTCACATAAATAAATATTCACTTGTCAAAATAGTTGCCACTGAATATTCTTTCAATGGATGGTTGCAGCTCTATGAAGCTTTTTTATTTGAGACGCCACAGAGTTGATTGGTCATTTTGTCTGGCATTTCCCAAAATGTCCAACTGTTCCTTCAAATACCTATGCTGCTAATGTTGGAACCATCAGCTTCTACATATATAGGTGCCCAGAAAAGTAATAATATATATAGCTGCTGAGACGTGAGGGGTTAATGTAGGTCAACTTACTGTTTGCCACCACTGGGGCGGTACCCTGGGGGGCTGCGTTTGTGGTTCGGCATACTGTAATCACACTGGATCTCACCCTGCTAAAGAAAAACAATGATGGATTTTGAAAAACATAAGAAAAGTGACTTTTGTATAATATGAACTATCAATTTCACTGCCCAGTCAACTAAATGCCACAAAGCAGTAGCCATGTGATACCTATCAGATTTTCATCAAACTCAATACAGTGGCACTGTTGGATACCGGTTTCAACCCGCCTAATTTCTTAATGTATGTAGCAATTCTTTGGGACCCTTGAGGGGGCAATATACAAAGATGATACTGGTAATTGAGTTTAGGGAGCATGTTTTATTCTTTATAGTGTACATTAAATATAATTGAGATTAGTGCAACTCATTTATAAATGTGTTTCAATGTGTAAAATGAGGTGATACTTCAACGTATTTTGTGTTGTTGTTAAAACTTTTCAAAATAATCAGCACAAACTGTATCTGCATGTAGGGCTGGGTATGGTGTGTTGTTTAGAGGTATAAAAGAGTACCAGACATGGAATCCAAAACTTAAACACTATAGCTACATGTACTCATGTCCATTTGATGTTAGAGTTTTACTTCAGTGTGGAAAGTCAATAACAAAAGTATGCTATGAACATTTCACAAAAATGGTGATGGGTAGATTGCTTCATTCAAAACAAATCTTCCAAAATGGACCTCCACCAGGCTGTTCAGTTGTTAAACCAACCAAATAAATGACCTCAGGTCTGTTTGTGGTGAAACAAAGCAGCAGAGGGTGGAGACATTCTGTCACTCAAACTGAAAATGTTTGTTTCAAAGAACGAGCGGCTTATGATTGAAACTGAGCTTTGTTACCTAGTTTCACAGAGTGAAACCTTTCGATTTTTCATTATTTATCTTTACATTCCAAATCAATCCGTTACAATGAGAGTTCACACAACAGAAAACTAGACAATGTCCATCAATTATTAAGGATTCACATTTCAGTGTAAGGCTCGTTCATATTGTTATGCTCCATCACTGTAAAGACGAGTAAAGGAAAATATCCACAACAGGACCTAAAGAACACACAATGAAGGCCTGGCAGTATGCTTACCAACGCAGAAACAAATCGGATAATTCTAGGCTAAATATAGGGCTAGCTTTGAAAATGGCGCAAATACACTTTTTATACCAAATGCAACTCTCCTTTAACCGCTTGAAAGGCGTACACGTGTACACACTCAGGGCAGAGGACAGCTCACAGTTGTAGTAGCAAAATGTAGTTTTAATTTTGATGTTGACCCATACCTGTGTGATGAACAGTCTGACCGCGATGAAGAGACGAGAGCAAACAACGGTGTGCGCGCGGACGCTGCGCCTGCAGGTGTGTTTGTTATGAGACTTCTACTCCCGTCACACAGGTAAAACCTGTCCTCTCAGCCTCACCGGTACCAGGAAATGACTGAGGGACTTCACAGTCCGAGTTTCAGTTGAGGGACAGACAATTGAATACATTCCGGAATAATTATAATTTATTTTAAATTCAGGTTTAGCGTTCATCAAATTAAATGAAACAGGGCATAGGCCTATATTATAATGTCATTAAATATATTTCTTTACATTTCATATCTTTAAGTAGCCTACTATTATTTATTTTGTACTTTTACCATTTATTAGAAATCATTGTAAATACATTCAAATGTGAATGCAATAGGCTTGTTTGAGATGAGCTGCGGCTCGCCTCGAAAATAGACGAGAATAGCCGATTGCAGCCGGGGGAGGTCTCAAAAAGCTCGCCTGAAGTCGGACAGCTCGGGGTGTTTCTCAATCGCGAGTACGCTTGCTTGGTAGCAGAGTGATTCTACAATTTAGGGTACATTCCATGTCCATTGATGTCCATTGATGATAATTATAATTATTCTAACTATTTTCTTCAAAAATATCATATTTTGCCTATTATTGGAAAGCATGTTATAATATCACACAAACATTATGTGCATCCTATGCTTTATTTAGCTTGAAATGTGTCATGATGTTCTTAAATTGTCAGTTTTTGCTATGTCCGTTTTTCAGTTGAGGGTGTCTTGGTTTCAAAATAATGAATAAAAACCATTAAAGTAAATAAAAAAAAGTATTCATTTATTTCAAAAGTCTAAATACTAAAGAATAATAACATATTTTTAATTGATTTCCTCCTTTAAATAATTTAAATATCTTAATATATGAATGTCCGCAAAAGTTCTGTCAACTATGTTACTAACAGAACTCCCCCCTTTAACTCAAAAATGGTTTGTCCCAAAACCATGTCACCAGCATCACATGATGCCATGTTCCTCTTTGACAGACATTTTGAACACACTGTGGTGATTGTCCTCTAATTTTTTACAATATTTTATGTATAATAGCACATTGTCAATGAGTATATTAATTGACCATCAACAATGTTACGTACATTGTTATGGTTTACAATTGTTTAATGATTTTAATTCAATTATATGTTCAAATGTGATGTTAACCTATTCAAGAAAATGACATGTGGTCATCCAGGCAAGGCCTACCATTGAAATGATGGGTCAAAATAGGGAAATGGTCAACTAGGTTACCTGTCAACTAAGTTACCCAGTACTGTAATAACTGTAGTAACTTAGTTGACAGGTAACCTAGTTGACAATTTGTATGACATGTAGACGTCATTACACATCCTTATCAATGGAATTTTGCACTTCTGCCTTGAAATGAACATAGTGCTGATGGTTAATAATGTGTCCAGTCAACTATGTTATTTGCGTCAAATGTTTGACTTTCATTGTCAACTATGTTGCACCTCATTTTTTCAAATTTAAAATATCTAAAATAGTGCTTCTGATATCCTTAATAGTATAATGTATATCTACACAGGTTGGAGTTTTACATGACATCTCTTAAAACTATCAAAATGACATATGGTAGTTTTATAATACAAAATATCCCTAAACTTAATGACAGTGCTGAACATATCACATGAAAAAACAAAACTTTAATACAATTATTTTTTAAACTTTAAAAAATCTTTGGATATATGGTAGAATAGACTCAAGAGCCTTTCAAATTTGATTTTACTTGAAGTGCAGGACTTAATCAAATGATTGTAATGACATCAAGTTTGTCCGTAACATAGTTGACAAACTGAGTAGTGAAAACATCCTTTCCCTTAAAATAAAATAAAATAAAAAAATGTTTAAGCTTTGCAACTAGTGGATATGTTACACTGAGGAATATACTAACTTGAACCACTGATTGTTCTATTGAGAAAGAACACTTTCTTTGTACTGTTTTGTTGATGTGAAATGCACCCTAAATTATAGAATCAGTCAGCACATGTCTGCCGAGCATCTTGCTTCAGAAGCGAATCAAGAATACTTCCTGACATTTGGAAAACAAAGGGTGTTTCTCAATCGCGAGTACGCTTGCTTGGTAGCACATGTCTGCCGAGCATCTTGCTTCAGAAGCGAGTCAAGAATACTTCCTGGCATTCGGAAAACGAAGAGTGGAACAGGCTAGCAAGTGTGCAGGTGTGCGTCATATGAGAGGCCACAGATTTTGGAAATTGGTCCGTGTGCAAAGCATTGTGGGGATTTTAAGACCACATTTTCTTTCACTCCACACCCCCTGCATTCTTCAATTTCGCTTTTTACCATTATAAACATTAGCCGCGTTCACACCAAGTACTTTCCTGTACTTAGTTCCGGCACTAAGAGACCCAGCGCTTTTTACCCCAGGGCACTTAGTACAGATCGCGTTCACACCGGAGTACTTTTCCCTGAGGGAAGATTACGCAAATGAGCCGCTGACGTCACTTCTTCTTCTTCTGCTTTGGCTTTACTGGCAGACCACAAACCACTTCACGGCGAGTACAGTAGGTGGCGGTATGCACCTTAAAGTTGTTTGCAATCCGCTACAAAACAAGAGAAGAAGAAGAAAAACTTCCCGCGTATACTGCGACGCCCACCCACTCGCTGTACATTAGGCGTCTGTTGTTTACCTTCCGACCTCAGACATGATGGAGATGGAGTCGACTGAAGTTGTGCTGTTTGTGCTCATGTTATACAGCTTTGTAACTGAGTTAATGCAGCCTGAGCAACTTGCGTACAATAACAAAACAAGCCGAGCACGAGTGGTGGTGGAGAACGCTTTTGGCAGACTGAAGGGCAGGTGGCGGTGCTTGATGAAAAGAAACGACTGCAAGATGGACAAGATCAAAATCCAGGTGGCAGCATGTTGCATATTACATAACCTTTGTGAAAGTAATGATGAGTACAGGGACGAATGGACTGCCTTACCGGCGACCCAGCTTGATGGGCCAGCCATTGCAGAGGCTGGGGGGCAAGACACGCGCACAGCCCTTATGAGGCATCTGAACAGCGTGTAAATTGTACATTGTAAACATTTTGACAATAAAGCTGATCTTTTGTACAGTGCTTTTGTTTCTGTCTTTTATTTTCCAGTCAAGACAGGCAACATTACAATAGTGTGGCAATATAATAACAATAAACTGTGCCAGGTGTGTTGTATGCACAGTAAATAGGCTCAGCAGCAAACCCACCTTTATTATTTATTATATATCTTACCCACTGCATCCGTCTGCCATAAACACTATGGAAACCTACATGTTAGTTTCGGCCCATAGTGGACTCCATTTTGTGTTGTGTAAAATGGGGGGGAGAATTAAAAGTTTGCAAATCCCCATGTCCTCCTCAGAGGACAATCATAAAAACATTTAGTTTTAGGTCAAATAATATTTAAAATGATATAAATGATCATATTTGTGTATGTGCCCCTGCCATTCCTCCACAAGGTTGCAACATTGATGATAAATAAATGACAAATAAAGCTTTGCCAGTTTATAACCGATGAAACATGATGGTATCAGAATAACCACTTACATGTGATGTATAGGATGCTACACAGGTCACTAAAGATAAAGTGTCAGGAGAAATAAGCAAGCTACAGGATCTGTTTAACAGTAAATAGAAGTTCACATTTTTAATGTAAATAAAATAGAAGTTGTACATGTAAATTAACATTATCAATATAAAATAAAGTGTCAGTTGTATCAAGACTATATAATAACAGTAATAACAATAATATAAAATGAACTGGTGAGCATCTTGTCCTCCGTTTCCTGGGCCTTGGTGAACAGCACCATCTGATCCCCGTGCATCGACTCTTTCACCACGGCACGCCGGTCCTCCAACGCCTGGACGGTGTCAAAGAAATTCGCATCCCGTGTCCGCTTTCCTAAGAGGGAAAATAAGCAAGATACAAGATCTGTTTAGTCGCCATGTAGTTTTACAACATACTAGTGTGTGTGTGTGTGTGTGTGTGTGTGCGTAGCTGCCGCTCAAAGTGCCCTTCTTTATTGTTTTGTATTTTTGAAGAGTGCTTCATGTATGCTTGAACTTTGTTTAATGTTGTTGAGGCAAGTTTTCTTACCGGAAGTCATGTGACCTGTAGCCCGGATGTTTACAATGTTTGTGAGAGAGTAAAAAGGCGCGAACATTTGTAAATGCCGGTCTAGGCGAATACGTTTTCACGCTGTTTCATAATTGTACCAAGAAGGAAATAAACATGATTGTGAACATCAGTTCGATGCGTAACGTTCTTTCAAGACAAAGTTACAGTGTGTGTACCTTTGCGTTTGGTTGCTGGTAAGGGGGACGACCAAGCGCTGTGATCTAGAATGCAAAGCTCGCTTGTTTCCAATCCCGAGAGTTGTCCATCCTCGCCTGAAACAGACGATTAGTGCCATGAGTTAGTGAAGCAAATTACAGAAACACTGCACAGTTATTCACAGGTCAAAACGTTTTCATAGCGGCCGAGAATATCTAGCTAGCTAGATGTAGCTAGCTCGGGGCCGGTGTTAGCCAGTTCAGCCTAGCATGGCTAGCTTGATCTACTGAGCAAATAAAAGTACATCTGAGACCATTATTGTGCAGATTAAAACCCCAGTGCATGTAGTTGATTTTACCTTCGTCGTGGTCGTCATCGTTGGCCACTGAATCCGCCGTTTGAGCGGCCTCCCACACCATCGGTCGATGCTGTCCGGGAGAAAAGGTCTGTGGCCTAGCAGAGCATCCAAGCGCTCGTACCATTTACTGGTCTTCCGGTCGTTACCACTCTTGTTATAATAGTCTTTAATTTGTTTGTAGTCCTGCCTGAGTTTCTTTATTTTTAGCCGGTATGCCGTGGCGCTGTGCACGATTCCCAGGTCGAGTGAAAGCTACTGAACTGGCTTCAGTAGCATTCCCTGGGTCACGTCCTCGGCGTAGATCTCCAGAAGCGCCGACACCTCCTCATCACTCCACCGCTCCGATGATTTCTTGATGCTTGCCATAACTGCTTTCAAAAACAAACTACTCTCCGTCGGTGCGCTG